AGACCCTAGGGACTAAAGTAGATTCCCTCAATCCCTTTGTCGGTTCCCAGAATGTCGGCACGATCTGTACCTGGAATAGCACGAATCTCCTAGAAATGCACCGCCAATCAAATTCCACCTTTTTAGGTCTTTGCCATCTCATATAACAATAAACAGAAAATGATTGAACATTTTTCTAAATATAATAATATATTGATTCTTATATATAAAATATAATTTTAGAAATGTGTAGATTATTATTTTTATCGCGTTACAATTTTAAATATGTTTTTCTTTTTTTTTGTATAATAATAATATTGATATCACACAATTTAAATGCTTGAGAAATTGGGTTAGGTTATAGAAATGTTAAAGTGTATAAGTATGAGTAAACGGAAGTATGTAAGTCTAAATATATACATATATGGAAAAAAGGTGTGAGAGAGAAAGAAGTAAGGTTAACGCGGTCAGGTAAGATTTAAAAACTAAAATTAAAAATAGAATTACATTATATTGGAATTGTATATAAAGGTTTTGAATGAATATAAAACAGTAGCCCATTCTCTACGACAATCTTCAACATTTATTATCATTATTTGTGTGTATTTTCAACACATTTATAATATATACAAGTTGTATTTTATCCGATGTCAATTTGCACGAATTAGCTGCAAAAAATTGTATGTAAAATAATGATACTTACTTTGACGAGTAAAAACTTTAACAATAGTTAATCAAATTTATTACAATTCATTTTGTTCATTCATTTTCTATCTACATAAAATCTAACATTTGGTAAATATAACTTGCAATAATTTCAATATAATCAAATATTATACGAATAAACTCACTTGTATTTTGTTTCAATCCTGATAAAACTTTCTCAACCTTTTGATAAAGAATAAACACAAGACTTTTTCGATCCACCCACGTAGATTCTTGGTAATTGAAAAATTGACTCTAAAATGATCAAACAAAAAAGTATTCAATTGTTATTTTGATTTATCAAATGAATTTTCCTTAATGCCTATTATTTCTTTTCTCGACATTTTTTGTGATCTTAAGGAGAAAATAATATTATATTTGATCGAAGAGAAGTGAGAAAATTTTCAAATAGCCAAGTAAAGAGAGGACAAGGAAGAAGAAGAAGAGAAGGAGGAGGAGGAGGAGGAGGAGGGTATTAGTAATCGTTGGGAAGGACTTTGAAAAATCAGCCTCTTGGGTTTAAAGCTTTTTATCCTTTGGGAGGGTGCACGACACGTTTCTTTATCCATTCGCGGCACAAAGGTTCCACGAAGATTACAAGACTACCGATCCCTTCCTCCCCCTCTCTCTCTTTCTCTCTTTCTCTATATAGGTTCCTATATGGGAAGGGCATTATGGTGACACATAGTAAAGTAATATACCAGGACATCATCCTGTGCATGGACAATAGACTCCAATCATTTTGTCTCTCATCTATTCTTTTTTTCCCTTCCATTCAATCGTTTACTTACCTGCCGTTAAGCTGAAAATTATTTTTAGATAAATAAGAGAAGGTAACCAAAAAAAAAAATAAAAATAATTAATAAATATAAACAAATGGTAATACCGTAAATTATACGATTTTAATATCTGTGTCGTATAATTGAGAAAACCAAAAAATTCTTATTATTATATACAATGAATTTATTTTTATTATATATATATATATATACGAAAGTGGGTTGAACAATTTTAACTCACGATAATGAAGACTTTTAGGTATTTTTTGTTTTTTATTTTTTTTTTTAAATAAAAACTCAAGACTTTTCAACCCATTCACGTATACGATCAATGCGTTTTGTTGCAAGGAGAAATAATGCTTATATTTTATTATAGTTTATTTTATTTTATTTTATTTTATTTTTGTCGAATCGATTTATTCTAAAACCTTATTTATGTATTCTCCACGTGTTTCTAATATATCGTTAGAATATATTTCAAGCGAGATACACATAAATAATTGTTACAATATTATCATACATTTATACACATTTAACGCGTACATAAGTACTTACAATCAGTTTTTTTTATTTAAGAGAGATTCGTCATTTATTTTATTTTATTTTATTTTATTTATTTATTTATTTATTTATCTTGAATCGCATGCATTTATTTAATGCCTCGAATTAACATTCCTCTTATAGTTCGCTATATTTAACAATATTTATTCGTATTGCAAGCTGACTGTGAGACTAGATATATATATCTGGTGGTCTTTCTCGTAAAAGACTTTTATTATTTGTTGCTTTAAAATATAAACAATAATAAATAATATTACAAATTACGGAAATGTGTAAATTATAATTGCATTTTTCCCGAAGAAAAAAAAAAAACAAATTAGAAATTAATAATAAGAGAGAACAAACAAAATTTAATTAATTCAAAATAAAATCAAAAATCCAATAGAAACAAAACAAAAGAAATAATATTAAAATAAATAATAACAACGGACATTTTTTTTCTTTCAACCCTCGTAAGCTATGTTACGTCAACAAGTGGCCTCTCTTCTTCTTCTTCTTCTTCTTTTTTTTTTTT